TTCTGAATATATATTTTATATACAGAATTTTATTTATTATTAGAAAACATAACAATAATAGCTGCTAAAGTTTCAATTGCTGATTTGACACTGTTCCCACCCATAGAATAATTTAGAAAAAATACTATTGGATTGCTTGAATTTTAACCTGTAAAATAAGCTTATCAAAGTAATAGAGAAATTTTGAGAACATGGGGAAAAAAAGCAAAGTTTACCATGATGCACGTCGTTTGGCGTCGTGCAGGCACCTGTTCGCCTGTTTATGGTGTCTACGCGATGTAAACTTTATTTTTTTTCGACCGCTCGGAATTTTTATTCCGATCAATTATCGACTGCTCATCTGTTTACCGACTGTTCAAGCGAGACTCGATCGTCACCTATAGTTCATAGAAGAGTAAGTGCGATAGCTTTATTCTACAGTGATTGGCTGACTATGAGGGAAGACCAAAGAGTAAGTGTGATAGCTTTATTCTATCGCTATTGGCTTACTAACAGCGAGCCGTTACAAGTTCCCCTACATTTCGTACTTCTAGGTCCTAAAACACGCCTGAGACTTCTGATTTGCTTTAATACCTACCCTGTAACTGTTGCATAGGGGATCCGAATTTCGAACTCTTACGGAGTCTTTACTGTACCTTCTCTAGTTTTCTTTCACCACAATCCAGATATTTGAAACAACGTACGTATAGTAATTTACCGCTAAAAGCTTCAAAATAATTAAATGTACGGTAATATTATTTATATCAATGTCATTTAACTGTTTGTCAATATAGTATACATGTGTTTAATGCAACTTTAACCGAATGTTTATACTGCATATATTTCAAACGTTTTGTCAAAGCTGAAAAAGTATTTTGTTATTAATTTTATTTTTTATCAATACATTTAAAATAACTATGAATATAACGTTTCTGCAGAAATATTGTACATAACATAATGTGTAGTATAAATATTTGGTATTTGCTTCAAAACTAATATCAGTGTTAAATAAAAACTGGATAATATTAATAGTCTATTAACATGTGACCTTACTTGTTCATGTCTCCTTTCAAAGTCTCTTTCTTCTTTATTTCAGCTTGTAAAAATGAATGAAACAACTTTACCTCCTTCACCAAACTGGTATTTAAGCAATATTCTTGCTTGTTCTTTTAATGGTACTGTAGCATGGGGTGCTAGAGATATGATTGTTGTTGCTAAATCTGAAGGAAATGGAAAAGCATTACAGTATTCAATCATTAAACATAGCCATAAATCTAAAGTGACTTGCCTTGCATTTACTCCAGAATTTGAAGAAATTAATTTATTAGCTTCTGCAGGGAATGATAATGCAATTAAAATATGGAATTTGGAAACATTAACCATAGCTTATACTCATCTCTTGGAAGCTGTAAGTACATACATGAAAATATATATATATTAATTTATAGCAATTGTGTATTTAAAATATTTATTGTGTTTTTAGGATAAACAAGTGATAAGTGTAGATTGGTCGCATAAAGATGCTTATGTCATATATGCAGCAATTTCAAATGGTTGTGTATTATCATGGAATGCTCATTTTGATATTGTTTCTTCAATTTCATTAGGGAAAATGACACCTACTTGTATTTCTTCTTGTCCTCATGATCCACATCTTGTGGCTGTAGGTTCCAAGAGTGGCTTGGTTTATATTATAAATTTTCAATTTAAAGGACAAGTAGTTTACAAACTTAGAGGACATGATACTGAAATAGTTAGTCTATCATGGTGTCCATCAAAAATTAATGTTCTAAGTGGAAATTTAAAAGAAGATTTACTTTTAGCTTCAGGAGGAAAAGATAGGTAATATGAAACATTGTTATAAATGTTCACAACTATAATTTTGATGTATACCTTCTAAAGTTATAATATACAGGTCAGTTTTTATTTGGAAAACTGGTGGAGATGGACGTTATGAAATGACAATTTCATTACCTGGAGGGCCTCTTGATTCTCATCAACATAGAAGCAAATTAAATCCATCTGTAGGTAATTGGGTTGTAGTTCATTGGATAGAGCCTAAACTGTTGCTTACAAGTTCACAATGGGGTGAATTAATTTCTTGGAATTTATCAACAATGATAAAAGGCAAACCTACTGTCAAGTTAATACATGCAAATCATAATAGAGGATTATTTTGTATTGCAAGTGTACCAAATATTGAAAAAACGTCAGAAGAAGATTGGAGATTGAAACAAAGGTTTCTATTGACAAATTTATAATTAGATATAGTTATGAAGCAAACAAAAAATATTTTCTATAAATTGCAGACATACTATTTGGACTTTGGCACAAGATCGTAAAATTATTTGCTGTGGAATAAAAGAAAATAATGTTGAAATCGATTACGACATTTTTACACAAAGTGGTTATGTTTATTGTATTTCTGCTTGTCCATTAGATACTTCACAAGTTGCATTTGGAGTTGGAGATGCAATGTTGCGTTTATGGAATTTATCAGAACCACATTGTACTTCTTTTGATATAACTGTTTTGTGGCAAAAGATTAAAGGAAAGATTCGTGCGGTAAGACCTACAAGA